CAGACGAACACTCTTGATTGGGGCTGGCTTGGTGGCTTGCGATGGCTAAGCTCGCGCCAGTCCCTTCGGTCCTGAGCAAGATGGTACCATTGCGCCTCCGGGATACCGGTCGCACGGAGGTCTGAAGCTGCCACATCTCTCCAACGACGCTTGGGTTCATGGCAGGGCCGCGTGTTGGTGCCCTCCGCAAACAGGGTCTGCTTTGGCAACCTGGTGTCGTCCATCCTTGCGAGGTGACCAAGCCATCCTAGGCGATTTGCACGAATGGACTCCTCCAGCGAGGCTGACATGCCGCTGCGCTGGACCTGGACACTGAAGGTACCCCTCCTGCACAGGTTGGACACGTTCCATTGGCAGTGTGTTCGCACGATTCTGAGTGTTACTCGAGGCCAGCAGTGGCAGGTACATCTGTCAAGTGAAGACACACACACACGTACACACACACACACGCACACACGTACACACACTTGCTGTGTGACAGCTATCAAAACAGCAAAATTGAAATCTGAGCAAACCGCCCACTTATATACAGAATAGGAGATATTCCGACATTGTCCCTAGTTACAAACAGGGCTGGTGGAGACAGCTCGAAGCAGAGTGCTCAATGCACTAATGTGCAGAGCTGTATACACATACAACGGAGGCGAAGGGCTGTGCAGCTGTAACTTCACGCATCTCAGTGATGGTCAGACCGAATGCCGCTGTCTGAATGACGCTGTCCGAATGCCCCTGTCTGATGATCGCTGAGATCGCTGAGATGTGTGAAACTTGGAGTTGCAGCTCCATAGCCCTTCACCTCTGTTGTTTGTATTGTCAATAGTTAAGTTTTTTTTCCTTTGCTAACCTGTAGCTATTGATTTGAGGACATCTCTCAGTTTGGTTATCACTGTGCATGCACCGTGCTTGTGAATGTGGCGATGATTGAAGTAGAGTCACAAATATGTTCAAGCGTTAATTTACTGAGACCTCTACAAGACGAATTGCAAGGGACTGAACAAGTTTGTTTGTATTATCCGGATTTCTTATCTAGATCTGACCTATCAGTTGCTGTACAATATCATATGGATTGTATTAATGTGTGAACGTGCATGCTGTGACACATGTAAAAGCGTTTTTTTCCATGCCATACCTGAATCGGTGTCTGCCAATTGAAGAGACAAGTAAAATTAAAATGAGAGCTCTGATAGCTGCCTGTTATTGCCAAGACATGTAATCCTATCAGTGCGTTGCTGCATCTCCTCACTCTACTGCAGTCGAGTTTTGATTCAAGTGTTTTCTTGTGCTTTGTGACTGCTGATGAGCGCGTTTACATTCTTCATTTCAATATTATGATTTTTGTCTCCTCGTCGATTATCTACTAAGACTACTATGCGTGTGTGTGTGTGTGTGTGTGTGTGTGTGTGTTTATTGCAGAGTCGGTGACGAGTGTAAGCTTTACACGTGATGGTCAGTGTGTGTTGGTATCTAGCCTGGACAGCACTATGCGATTAGTCGACAAAGCCACTGGACAAGTTCTCTGCAGGTACGCTGATGCTGGTGGTGGTGCTGCTGCTGGTGATGTTGTTCTCACATGCTGCTGTTCACACATGCTGATGTTTTCTCTGCAACCGTGCTTGGTTTCGTTTTACTTTAAATTATTCAACGCAGCAAATAAAGCGAGTTACGCATTCGACACACACATCGTTCGCAAGGGTTAGGCATGCTTGAACGTTGAACATGTGTGCGTTGAATGTGCAACTCGTTTTATTTATTGCAGGGATGAATTTATCCTGTATCGCATCGCAGTTTGCGATGCAAAATCGATCTACTGCTACTCAAAAGCCACCGTGACTCGCAGAAAACTGCAATACAATCATACAGACTATCTATGCCTAGCATGGGCTGTCAAGTAACATGCATACAGTGCAATGTATGTGGTACAGGCACTCTCAGTCTGCGGGCACATGCAACATTCAATCGGGTTTTTTCCAAATGGGCTTTCAGGCATCACTCTCACGAAGGACAATGTGTAAACACCCAACCTTCAAAGAAAAATGCTAATCAAACTCAAAGACTGCTATACAAAAATATGACAATAAATTCATCCCTGTATTGCGTTGATTTCATTCCTGTCTCCATGAAAACTGTTTAGATTATTCAGCGATGTTTAGCATGCCACCTGCTTGCGTACAAGTGACAGAAATACAGAAACATTTGATGTTTTACTTGGTTTCTGGTTTCACCCTGAACACTGGCCATGCCCAAAACTTGATGAACCTCGAGAAGAATCATTGGCAAAATTGTTAGCAACAAAAAGAGTAAAAGACTGTGCAGTTTGAGACCTGCTGTTTTGTGTTTCCACCTGTGTATGTGGATGTGGGTGTGTCTGTCTGTCTGTCTGTCTGTCTGTCTGCCTGTGTATGTATTTGTATTTGTATTTATTCAACATTTCCTGGCTCGTCAAACGACCGCCAATGACAAATGAATGTGAAATGAAGGGTGATAGCAAACCACGGCATGTATGTGTGTATGCATGTGTGTACGCATGTGCATGTATGTGTGTGTGGTGTGCGTGTGGGTGTGTGGTGTATATGTGTATATGTGTATATGTGTCTATGTGTTGTGGACATAGCTACACAGGTCACAAGAATAGCAAGTACAGCATTGACAACTGCCTCTCCGCCAAGGACACGCACGTCATCAGCGGTTCCGAGGATGGACGGATCTGCTTCTGGGATTTGGTTGAGGTGCGTGTGTTCAACGGTGTTTACATGACTGTATGCATCTATACATGTTGTATGATCTGCTGCCCATCAAGGCCTGCATGACACACAGGGAAAAAATGTCACGTACATATCGTGAAAAACTACTAAATCCGGTAGGACAGCGTTCGTGCGCTTACCTCTACCATCTACCTCTATCGGTAGACTGACTCTACTCTACCAGGTAGCTAAAAATGAACGCAACCTTAGTCTGCATGACACAGAGGCTGAGTCTTGCAGTCTTGCCTAGTTCACACAGGCAGTGATGAGTGCATGTTTGTATCCTCCACAGGCAGACTACACATACACGTATATTGTTAGTCACCAGGTTGAGTAACAGTTAGAAAGGAATAGTATAATTATAGTGAGTTTGACTGTCCAATTCCTAAGAATACCAATCTCACATGTATTCTCACCAATCACCTTAAGATTACGTCACAGATTACTAGTAGCCGGGATGACCTGGTGTGTGTGTGTGTGTGCTGTGAACACAATCATGTTCATATTTACAAACACGATGTGTTTGTGCACATACATGTACAGGAGAAGAAACAAAGAAATGGTCCACTTGCACCTTGTTTTTCTAAGATGTTTTCTTGCAAGAAAGCAATTCCCAATTAATAAGTATCGTCGAAGTCGCACCAAACTCTTCTTCACATTTAAGAAAGCAATTGTCGCATGCATAGTTGCAATCAAACAAGAAACGTTTTTTGTTTACAGCTAGATGCAGGGTAGAGAACTACATAATGGCAGTGTTGCTGGTGATGCAAGTGCCTAGAGGATGTGTGTGTCAGCCCGTGTGCTGGATAGGCTAGTCGTGTCATAGCACAAAGGCAGTCGGCGCGAAACACACGAGCGCTAACGCTACCTGCCAACAATGAGTGTGGGTAGTTATGTAGCGACCCTACTGCCATGGTGCCAGTCTCACTCACTAGCCGGCCCAGACATATTCGCACGCGCAACAAACTTTCTCTTTGCTCTCAATTAAACAGCACCTGTAGACAATGTGGCCCTCTCCATGGCAGTTGTAATTTCTTAGGCCCCAGGGGTGGCATGGTATGTCCGGGAAAACATCTGTCTCCACGTGTACAGATATGACCTCTGCCACCTTGGCTTGGGTGCCCAAACGTTGAGCCTGCTAGCTTGCCTCGCTGCAATATCATGCAAGCAGAGTGGCTATGCGTTGTTCTAGAGTTCTCTACCGTGCTAGTACAATCATTACCGACAATCACCTGTGACGTCATCACTGTGACATCACATAATTATGACATCATATGTGGCACACATGACATCATCAATCCTGCCATAGACCATGTCTGTGTCCTGACATGCTGTGTTCGATGTTGGCCGGTATGGTGCACGGCAAAACTGTGAAAAATGTCAGCTTGTTCAAAGTCATTATTGTAGACTCTAGTGGAGAGCCAAGGATCATAAATTCATAATTAAATTTTAATAGAGAAGATCAAAGGTTTACAAGCTATCCATTGTTGTCAAACAGTGACATAACCGCGTACTGGTGAGTCAGAACATGCAACAGTTGACATAATACTGACAAGTTGTTCTGACAAGTTGTTCTGACATTCAACACCATGACGTTTAGCTCCAGCACATCTCAAATGATGTGCAAGCCAACAAACAGCCTTTGATTTGTAAGGCTCTAAGTTACCATGTCTATAGTGCTTGCCAAGTCACTAGTGTAAGTAACACCACTCCTCTGCAGTGAGATAGCCAGTGGGTTACTGTAGTGATATCTAGTTTGTGCGATGTTGCATTCCACTGTGGATCACGTTCACATGTAGCCATGTGAGAAATTCCCTATGTGGCTATGTCATTACTGGTGACATTGTCACCAACATCAGCAATGACATCATCTACAACACCATGTGTGATGTCATCTATGGCATCACCAGTGAGATTAGTATCACGACCAACCGTGCCAATGATGTCATCTATCTCACCAGTGACATCATAATATATGACATGACTAGTGAGACTGTACTAGCATTTAGTACCACCAACCTTGCCAATGATGTCATCAATCTCATCAGTGATATCATCTATGGCGCTGGTAGTGACATGTTCATAGTGAATAAGATTGAGGTTAATATGTTTAAATATGGCTTGTGAATTCAAGCAGTGTGAGTTAGGACAAATCTAACACCCAACACCACTGCTCTACTACTCTGCTGTGCTAGCATGTGAAAAGTTTGAAGTCTGAAATTTTTCTTTTGTGGTGAAAAAAGGAGGACAACGTGTTGTAAACGAGTTATGACTAACTGTCCACCAACGTAACCAGATCCTATACAGTCAGCGATTGCGACAAAATGGCACGAAACTGACAAGGAGTACTGAGACATTCGGCGACCTGACACCTAGCTCCAACACTTCACCAAGGCGCAAACCAACAACCTTCCAACTTGGAAGGCTCAGGCTCAGGTTTTTTCACCATAATTTAATTGGCTCACCATCCGAGTTAAATTTTTCTTTTGTATGAATCTTAATTCTACTGTGTCCTTTCTGGCGGTGTTCAAGGAGTTTTGGTTTGGAGTTTTTTCTTCTTCTTTTCTTTTCCCCTTTTCGTAAACATTGCTGTTGCCATTCACACTTTTATCCTTCCATTTTGCTGTGAAAACCTTTGTTCAATTCTTGAATTCTTTGCTTTCCTTGCTCTCCGTGCATTCATATCATCATTGCTTTGTGCGTTCAATAAAGCATCGTTTAGCATGTAAGCCAGTACTTAAGTACTGGTTTAGTTGTACTCGTGTGGTGATGGTAGGTATTGAGGAGAACTGTGTGGTCGGTGTGCTTGTTGGAGTTGGGAAGTGTGACTGTTATCACCAAGTTGTTTTATTAAAGTGTTTGTGCTCTCAATGAGTTGTGAAGTGGTAATGCTATCACCAAGTTGGTGAGTGTTGGTGCTCTCATTGAGTTGTTAAGTGCTAGTGCCATCAGCCGTGGTGGGCATCATGCCAGCACCCCGTACTGATCATAACTGTATGACGTGTGCTGCTATAGACCTTAGATCAGAGTGTGACTGTCAAGCAGCGGGAGCGTCTGTGTGTGGCCAATGGGTGTCCATTACGACATGGACCAGCTGTGCTGCAGTTTGTGTGACAACTAGTTGTGTGAGGCTTCGGCGTGCTGATCTGACCGGTTACGCTGTATCGACTCTTGTATCGACTCCAGTTCAGTAGTGTGTGTGTGTGTGTGTGTGTGTGTGTGTGTGTGTGTGTGTGTGTGTGCGCGTGCGTGCGGGCGTGAGCAGATTCCTGAAACACGATGAGTACTTCACCAGGCTCTAGTCCGCCACGTCTGCCACTCTACCCACTCTCTGGTGGTCAGTCCGCAAGGGAGCATGCAGCCCACGACCCACTCTCTGCTGGCCAGTCCATACAGCATGCAGCCCACGACCCACTCTCTGCTGGCCAGTCCCTACGGCATGCAGTCCACAACATGGCTGTGGCACTCCGTCAATGTTTTCACTATGGTCAGCACAGCCATGCTGGCCGAGCCAGACTGATGGAGGAAGAGGGCGAAGACGAGGACGCTGACGAAGACGAGGACGAAGGCTCGTCCGTCAGTGCGCTGTGCTTTCAGCCGTCGTGTCCCGGTTGGCTGTTGTCTTGCTTGTGCTGTTGCTGTTGCTGCGATCGATGTGCACGTCTTGGCAACACCCACCAGCTCGTCTCCGCTCAGTATGATGTTGACGATGATGTCGCCATGGAGATTCCCAGCATGGCTGGAATGCCATGCTCTGCTGCCCTGGATAAAGAGCCGTGCGGTCACGTCAAGGATGCCAGTGCTGCTAAGGGGTCATCTTCTAGCTTGGCTGCTGCTGCTGCTGCTATTGCCGGACAAGAGCAAGCTAGTTTGGAAATGCTGGAGGCCCCACGTGGCCGTGTGCAAGACCTACCGGATGTTATCGAAGAGCAACCAATGCCGCTTGCTGCTAGTACTTCGAGTACGTTGGGGGCTGCCGGCTTGTATGACGGTGAAATGTGGCTGCCAGCGGCAGCTAGTGCTGCTGCTGCTGCTGCTTTGGCTGTTGGTGCACTGGCTGTTGATGGCTACCGCGGCGACTCACAGGACCAGGGTGTCGGTATGCACGTTTCCGATGGAGCGCGTGATGCTCAATGGGATGCAACCTTTGCCGCTGAAGGAATATGTTCGAGTGTTGGTCGTGGTGTTGGTGGTGTCGATGATGCTGGCTCGTTTAATCTGCGCTCCGGACAGTCTACGTCTGAAAAAATGCTTAAAGCCAGTGACGGGTTTGGGTCTGACGAAACGCTAAAAGCCGAGGACAAGAAGAAGGTACTTTCATCCACAGCTTCAGCAAACAGGGAGAGCAGCAGCACCACCAGCAGTGCTAGTGTTAGACCGAGGGTAAGGACTATTGCGAGTGCTGACTTTAGAATTAGATGTGCCGCTTTACTAATATCAACTTCTGAACTGTAACATGGAAATTGCGGGCACGAGTCACCTGAGTTCTTAACTTCTGAACTGTAACATGGAAATTGCGGGCACAAGTCATCTGAGTTCTTAACTTCTGAACTGATTGCCAATATGACCTTTACACTTTCACTACCTCAGGCCTCTCCCACACGAGAGTGTACGCCGTCAGACAGGATCAACAGCAGCACCGACACTGGGCCTCAAGTTGCTATGGTACCGGACTCTCAAGTTGCTATGGTACCGGACTCGAGCTTTATGAAGGCAACTGGTGGACTGTCCGACCCTAGCTACGTAACCTCATCACATGCAGCAGCAGTGCACGGCGGTATGGGCAATGAGCAGGATGTCCTGGACGATGGCGATGAGGATACGGAGATGGACGACGTTCTAACTGACCTCCGTTCTCATACTGTACGACAACAACAACGACGACGACGGCGACGACGACGCGCCAAGGTGCTCAACACAGCTGTTACCACCACCACCACCACCACAGCTGCCGCTGCTGTGACTCCGAGCACGGACAGTGCTAGTTCAGCAGTGAGGCGATTGTCATATCCAGTAAAATACCCGGCAACATCAGCAGCAGCAACAGACTACCCGGAGTGCGTCTGTGCTGCTGAGGACACTCCTACGCAAACCGATTGCTGTCCTAGCGATAATGACCGCGATGATACGCCTGGATGTCCGTCATGTTATCTGGTTATGAGCCGCCGTAACTCTCAACTGTGAACCGCCGACGTTGTCGAAACGATGATGATGATGATGGCAACAACAATAACAACAACAACAACAACAACAACAACAACAACAACAACAACAACAACAACAACAACAACAACAACAACAAACATGATCCTATACCCAAGCGTTATTTTGCAGGGCACCAGAAATTGTATCACGTCCATAGTGTTCTGTTCATGTGCGATGGTCAACATGCCAGATGTACATGCCAGATGTCTTCTTTCTTATCTCTAGTATGCACATACACGATGTTTGGCCATTGGTTTGGTTTTCGCTGATCCTTTCTTTCATCATGATTCTTGCATCAACATTAAGTTGTCGCTGATCCAGTCTCTCATCATGATTCTCCCATCAGCAGTAAGTTGTCGCTGATCCTGTCTTTCACAATGATTCTTGCATCAACTGTATTGTGTATATGACTGTTTTCTCTGGGTGCACTGTATTGGAGTTGTTACTCGTTGATGTTCGCCGCGTATTCGTGTTTGATTTCTTGATAGCCAGCTTGTGGCAGTGGTGACGTTGTTACTGATTGCTATACATAATGTATGGAGTAATGAGCTTGTGGCAGTGGTGACGTTGTTACTGATTGCTATACATAATGTATGGAGTAATGAGCTTGTGGCAGTGGTGACGTTGTTACTGATTGCTATACATAATGTATGGAGTAATGAGCTTGTGGCAGTGGTGACGTTGTTACTGATTGCTATACATAATGTATGGAGTAATGAGCTTGTGGCAGTGGTGACGTTGTTACTGATTGCTATACATAATGTATGGAGTAATGAGCTTGTGGCAGTGGTGACGTTGTTACTGATTGCTATACATAATGTATGGAGTAATGAGCTTGTGGCAGTGGTGACGTTGTTACTGATTGCTATACATAATGTATAATGTATAATGTATAATGTATAATGTATGGAGTAATGATTTGTTTTAAAGTGTGTGTTGGCTGCACCAGTGTTAGCCCTGTATGCAGTGGTGCAGCTTTATGTCACTGAACCGGAACTAGTTACCGCACTCCCATGATTGTAGAACTGTGTTGAGGGACAGACGAGGTGTGTGTGTGTGTGTGTGTGTGTGTGTGTGTGTTCTGTACCGCTAAACCTTGAGATCTTTAAGTGTGTATAACTGTAGAAGGCAGCGCTCCAGCATAAAGTTCCGCTGCAACCGTCTCACAATCCTGAATGTTACATTACACTGCCCAATAGGGGTGAAACGTCGAGTCGATTAGTCGTCTGGTCTGGCCAGTCAATAGAAGGAAAGCCCTTATCAACTCGCACATACATGTATGTAAAAAAATATGTGTATAAATGCCCACTGGTCCTGGGAATTCAGGCCATGCACTGCGAAGTACACTTGGCACATGAAGACATTTCGCTTTTAAAATTAACACATAGCCGAGTGCATAAGCAAAAGCGGTGCAAAACACATTCCGCATGGGTTCGTTTGAATGTGTATACCTACTATGTGCTCATACTGTTCTTCTGTTTGCTTGTGTGTGGGTGTGTGGGTGGGTGACCATGCATGTGCACGTATGCAGGCGTAAATATGCTGTGCTTGTGTCCATGTGCGAGGGCAATGTCAGTCGATAACCAGTCGATAGTCAGTCGATAGAATTAGTTCTAGTCGATAAGGAATTCGGGTGTGTCGTTTCACCCCTAGTACCCAGTCATGTACCCGTGCCTGTGATTGGAATTGTCACTTTCCAAGTTGTGCAGCTAGTGGATCGTCACATTGCACTCTATGATGAGAGCGTCAGCCATGGATCATTCGTCATCTTGTACTGAGTCTGAGATTGTTCCTCAGAGCTATCAGCGTATGGTGGCCTTCCTTCAACCTCCCCCATGGCACGTTTGGGTGGGAAATTGTCGCCTGGTACTGTTGATGTGTTTCACAGTAACAGGTGTAAGTTTCTCTCGTTTCTTTTCTCAGTTGTAAGCATGTAGTTAAGTGATGTCTTGTGATGTTCATCAGTATGTTACCTGTTCAGTCAAGAAAGGATCTGATCTCTTTCTGCTAACATCCTGTCCGTGTCTGTACCGAAACCACTTCAAGGAGAGCTGCTGGAGGCACTGGTTGTTTGGAGATTGTCTGCTGCTGCTGCTGCTGCTGCTGCTGCTGTCAAGTCACTGTGCCTAGTACTGTGCTACTGTCAAGTCACTGCTTGTCTTACTCTGCTGCTGGGACTCGGTGTCAAGGTTAGCCCGACAGCCTCAAGCTCTGCTCGTATTTGCTGATACCCATCACATTGATGTTCAAGACTATGGACATCTTCGGCGTTATTCGGAGCGCATGGCAACGATGTCTTGACTGGTATTGTAGGCATTGTATGTGCCTTGATCTGGATCAAGAGAACGTCTTTGAAGATGACGTCCTAAGAGACCTGAACTATAATATAGAGTCGTAGAGTCGTAGTCTATAATAGACCTGGACTATAACGTTAATATAGTAACAGAGTCGTAGTCTGTAATAGCCCTGGACTATCATATAGAGTCGTAGTCTATAATAGACCTGGACTATAATATGGAGTAATAGAGTCGTAATCTTAGAAAACTATATTATAGCTTTCTAAGATTACGACTCTATTACTAATTATTGTTAAAAATATTAGCTTCTTCTACTGAAGTAGTACTGGTATTTGTATATTCTCTCATTGTGTCTCTGTGACCTCCTGCCCTGATCTTTAAGCTTCTGCTCTGTTTCTTATAGCTTCTTCCATGTTTCTTTAAGCTTCTTCCCTGTTTCTTTAAGCTTCTGGCTACGCTGGTTATTATTTTGTTCCAGGTTTGTATTTGATTGGAAGGTGCAGTTGTTCCTTTGCCCTGTGTGTGTTTGTATGTCTGTGTTTGTTTGTTTGTTTGTATGTCTGTGTTTAGACTGTCTGTCTGTCTGTCCAGTATGCGCTGGTCTAATGCCGACGCACATTGCTTTTTGTGGCAATAGTGTACTCTGAGCTGACAATAGTGTACTCTGAGTTGACAATGGTGTACTCTGAGCTGACAATAGTGTACTCTTGAGCTGACAATAGTGTACTCTGAGCTGACAATAGTGTACTCTTTTTGTGACAATAGTGTACTCGCTTGTATTGTATAACTGTGTTTACTGCGTTCCTGGTTTCGTTTCCTTTAATCATCTCTTTAATTCTTGCCTTTACCCCATTAATCCCTCACATAATATTATCTTAACTTTATTATTATTATTTTCTCACCCCTCTACTCTGTTATCGTCCCTCTTTAATAAGAGTTGTGTTCATCACTGTTGAGGCTTCCGATGGAAAATAAAAGAATACTACTCTTGCTACTGCTACTACAGGTGGAATCCTGATAATTCGAATACGGCTTAATTCGAACATACCGCTTAATTAGAAGTTTTTCCAGGACCGATTTCTATCAATACGATTCCCACATAAAAAATTCTGATAATTCGAACCTCGAACTCGACATTTAATTAGAAGTCCCACAGATTCCACTTACATAGAAAATGTGTGGGATTTGTGCTGATAATTCGAAGTTAGCAAAGTGTAATTCGAAGTTCACTGTACACTGTACTGGTCAGTTCAGTTTGCACGAGCAGGCTGTGCCGGTCAGTTCAGTGTCCGTAAAATTTGTGTGTAAGGTCCATAGCGCAACTCTGCGTGACCGTGAGAGCATTTTGACATACATATTGTGTTGTGGGTTCATGTTTGGATAATTAGAATGTCCGGATAATTAGAAGTTTTTTCCTGGCATTTTGAGGTTGGAATTATCAGGATTTCACCTGTACTACTGTAATGTACGGGGATACGCTAACGTATGGGGATACGCTAACGTATGGGGATACAGTACGGGGATATGCTAACGTACGGGAATACAGTAACATACGGGGATATGCTAACGTACGGGGATACGCTATACGCTACACTACTACTACTACTACTACTACTACTACTACTACTACTACTACTCTGAGCTGTCCATGTGCTTGTTGGTGCCCTAGCTGGTGAAAACTTGTAAGAAATATATTTGTGCGGATGTAGCCGAGAATGACTAGTGAGGAGTGTGCCGAGAATCTTTATGCAACTATGCCTAGGCTAAATGGAGCTTTACTGACACTTTTGAAAAACAAGTTTCTAAGTTCTTTTTCTAATACAGTGGTGGACATCACGCAACTGCAAAATAAAGAAAGGGGGGTTGTCAACTGACAACCCTTGAACCGCTCTATTCAGTTGCTATTCACACTCGGCAGGTCAGAGGCAACACGTGGTGGAGAACAAAAAATACTTTGAATCGCATAGAGCACAAAAGTTGCTATCATTGCATTACGCAGGCAACTGCCAAAATACTTTTCAATGTATTTCCTCAACTTTGATGAGAAAGTGTGAGAAGGCTTGGAATTTGTTCACAGTTGATTGAGTAATGAAATTTGCAAATTTGTTGCTGTAAATGTGATTCCAACGTTTTCATCTCCCGCAATCTGTTTTTAAATACGGTAAAACCTGGTGTAAGCGACCTCTGGGTTTAGCGACCACCTGCTCTTAACGACCGTTTTTCCATGCACCGACAGTTCTATACAGATACTATGGCCCCTGGTTCTAAAGACCACCTGGCTTTAACGACCACTTTTGCTTGCACCGTGGGTTGGTCGCTTAAACCAGGTTTTACACACGATAAATCTAGTGTGACATATCACGTGCATGTACGCAGAGTCAGGAAGATCATCGTACATGCAATGTAGTGTTACTGTGCATGCGGCTGGGTATAGTCACATAGGCTTACAATTGGCTATGCAACATGAGTTACATGACCACAACAGTTGAACCTGCAGCACTACGACCCAACGCGAGTCAGGTCGGAACTGCATTGGACGGATGTTATTACTACTGGCGATATACTTTGTACTAATCTGGTATGTTTTGCTACACAAAGTCCATTCTTAGGACCGATATATTCTACTGTACGATAAAATTGCTTGTAAGAATGAATGTGCACTTGAAATCCATGTTATGATTATGAAAACATGAGAGTTCATTCTTGTAGGCAGTACGGACCTTTCGCATTCGCTACGAATCGAATGCGAAACGAAAGTTTGATTCGACTCGTAATCGTTTCGTTGAAAACAGATTCAGGTTTTCGCAAGTCGTAATGCAAATGTGCATGGCAACTACGAATCCGGCCGGTAGCTTGGCGTATGGGTGTGTTCGCGCACACGTGCATGGATCATGGAATCAAGGGAAAAAATGTGTACCAGGCAAAACATGTGTACAGTCTGTATCGGCTATAGAGTGACCGGATAAAAGAATATATTGGCTACAGTGATATTGGTACGAAATATCAAAAGCAAAACGTATTTTATCCAGTACAAATATCACTATAACCAATATTATCGGATGTAATGATATATCGGATATTATGATGGCAGCAAAGAATCAAAACATGCATAACACACTATATTATTATCGGCTATAGTGATAACTATAAAATGCATGTAGCAATCAATATCAAAGGCCCTATTTTTTTACTTTCTTCAGTGAGACTTCACATTGCTTATTTTTATAGTGATACATGTACATGTACATAACAGAATTTTTTATGGAAATGCGGGCACTGTCAACTATGCAGCATGCTCATTTGTCAAAACGCCATGCTGGAAGTATTTCCTTGCCTTTCATGTGTCGATCAAAATAAAAATAAAAAAATCGATCGTATCGCATATAGTGATGCATCGGATATAGTGATAATATCACGGAAATCAAAAGGGTACGCTATAGCCGATACAGACTGTACCTCCCAAAAAATGTGTACCTGACGGATTCGGAGCGTGCCACGAATGAAGAGGCTTCCATTCGTGAAAACGAGCTCTCCGCGGGGACTCTGACGAATACTCGAACCCAGGTGACGAATCAGCATTCGTTTCGTATCCGTACGCGTGGTGCGAAAGGTCCCTACTATATTCTTTTACACGACCATGCTATAACCGATACGCACTGTACTTGGAAGGAAAAAACGTTCATTGGTCCATTTTTTCTATCAGGAAATTTTTTTTAAGAACTTAAAGAAAAGGGGGATTGTCAACTGACAACCGCTCTATTCAGTTGCTATTCACACTCGGCACATACGCTGGATGAAAAATTCTTTTATTTGTGATGTCAAAAAATTATGACGTTTCGGGCCAGTCACCCATCATCTGTGCCGAGTGTGAATAGCAACTGGATAGTGCGGTTGTCAGTTGACAAACACTCTTTTCTTTATTTTACAGTTGCGTGATGTCCACTACTTTATTAGAAAAAGAACTTAGAAACTTGTTTTTCAAAAGTGTCAGTAAAGCTCCATTTAGCCTAGGCATAGTTGCATGACGATTCTCGGCACACTCCTCACTAGTCATTCTCGGCTACATCAGCACAAATATATTTCTTACAAGTTTTCACCAGCTAGGGCACCAACAAGCACATGGACAGCTAAGAGTACATTATTAGACACCCTTAGCAAACAACGGTAACGCTATTTTTTTACGGTACTCGTACCCTGATCACCCAGCAACTCTTGTTTTGAGTTGTTTTTCTTCTCTCTTTTTCTTTCCCTACTAGTTGCTGTTACACTCACTAATCCTTATGCACGGATATACAGCATTCCCTCACTAGTGGGACCATTGTTATTAGGCTAGAGCCTGTTTTGGACTTCCTACTCTAAATAAAGAATACAAACAAACAAACAAATAGCATTGAAGCTGCAGCGTAAAAGCGTTATTGGGGCTGATTTATCATTGTGACAAACGGTACTTTTTTAGGCCAAATATTGCATAGAGCGTACCCATTTCACCTTAAATCGTGTATATGGCGCCATAAATGGTTGTATAAAAGCTATACTAACGGCTACAGTGCACTAAAATTAGCGTGCATCTTGCTAAAGGTCGAACGCAAGTCTCGGTATTTTTCCCCTTACGATAATACCGTGACAACAAAACGTCTTTTGCTAAGGGCCAGGGTGTCTATTGTCAGCTCAGAGTACACTATTGTCACAAAAAGAGCACCTTCTTGATACAAAAAGCAATGTGCATCTGCAATTGACCAGCGCAATAGAACAGCGCAATAGACCAGCGCATACTGATCATTAAAACACAGATACACAAACAGACAGACAGACGGACAGACAGACAAAGCAAAGACATACAAACAAACAAACACAGACATACAAACACACGCAGGGCAAAGGAACAACTGCACCTTGCAAACAAATACAGCACATGGAACAAAGCAATAAAAACCGGCATAGGCAGAAGCTCATAGACACACTATGAGAGAATCTAATACTAGTACTAAGTTTAGTAGTAGATGCTAATCGTAGAACGTTACATGGTGCCGCACTCTTGGCTCATAATCTTGAGGGCCGTTCTCTTGCTCCAGATCATTGGACTGACAACACGTACAACACCAGTCAATAAGGCGTCGCCACGCGTTGCGAATACTTGTGAAGATGGCCATGGTCTTGAGCATCCACACGATGGCTATCAGCAAATACGAGCAGAGCTTGAGGCTGTCGGGTTAACCTTGACACCGAGTCCCAGCAGCAGAGTAAGACAATCAGTGACTCGACAGTAGCACAGTACTAGGCACAGTGACTTGACAGCAGCAGCAGACAATCTCCAAACAACCAGCGCCTCCAGCAGCTCTCCTCGCAGTGGTTTCGGTACAGACAGTCACACGAACAGGACGTTAGCAGAAAGAGATCAGATCCTTTCTTGACTGAACAGGTAACATACTGATGAACATCACAAGACATCACTTAACTACATGCTTACAACTGAGAAAAAAACGAGAGAAACTTACACCTGTTACTGAAAAACATATCAACAGTACCAGGCGACAATCCGTCACTTAAATTCAAATTGTGCATGACGTGGGAATTACTAGTACGTGTGCCCTGGCTAATCCTTACACGCGCCTGGGATACAAAAATGGACAACTTCACTATCACTAGCTCATCGGATAGACTATTACCTCACCACGGCAGGTGAAAGTTGCATCATCAACCCAGGGCAGTGTGAACTTCTAGGTGTCGTGTCATTATCTACAGCCTAGCCTAGAGGGTCACACGGACGAGCAGAAAAAACTTAGTCAACATCGTGTGGGGCATGCACATAACATGTAGAACACAATATTCAGTGAGTGCAGAAACAAAACAAACACCATACACAACACCCCCCCCCCCCACACACACACACACACACACACATAGCTATCACCTTGAGCATCATACACAGTTGATGTGGAAGAAGATGACATCGATTACCAGGTCAGAGGCAACACGTGGTGGAGAACAAAA